CCATTTTGGCAAAATGGTGGTGAGGATTTGATCTAATAAGAGATAGATTTAACTGTCAGTGTCTAACATCAACACTTTTAAGTCGGAACGAAGCAAAAGCTGCAAGCCGACTTATCCAGCTATTACTATAGAGATAATGTAATAAAGTACATATAAAACTAAGACTGATTTCTATTAAAAATTAACCTGTTTGACTTTTTTTTTGCAAACGGTGGCTGACGTTTGCCAGTGCGCTATTTCTGCATCAATTTAATGACGTTATAAATTCCGAGTTAAATTTGGTCTGGTCTGGCTTTACGAGGCGCGCTGTGTACTCTGGGAGGTTTTTATTCACAAACTTAATTAACGGATGGCCTGCGCTGCGCTCGTTGTGATCTAAATTTTATTGTTATGAACATCGTTTGAAATGAATAATCTTATTTTAATAATTTGTACTTTTGTAAGCAGAAGCGGCGCTGTTTGAAGGTTAAAATCTACATTATATTTTCGAATTTCTTTGTTTTCACTCGATGTAGACTTCAATATTAGAAGAACAAATAAGAAGAAGCTCACAGGAAATACGTGAAAAGATTAACATCTTTTTTAAAGTTCTGTACCTCGAAAGGAAGAAAACGGAACCCTTATAGGATCACTTCGTGGTCCACCCGTCTGTCTGTTAAGACCATTTTTCTCAGGAACGCGTCAAGGTATCAAGCTGGAATTTATTAATTTTGATAATAGCCTAAGAAGTTTTTACCCGGCGAATTTCATTCCGCCTAAGAGGCGACAAATGAGTAGGATTTTATAATGACATAAAAAAAATTCCAATTTAAACATGACTATATCCGTTCTTGAGTTATGTTATACTTTTTTAAATCCAAAAACATATAAATCAAAAAAGTTGGTCCAGCAGGTCTTGATTTATAAATGATATGACTAACACGACTCTGTTTTATGTATAATATATACATAGTTCTTCATGTCTTTTTAATCCTAAATTGTAGACAATCAAACTGTAAGTAAAATAAGGATCTTGAATTTATAGTAATATGTAATGATCAGTTACTTAAATATGCTTCGTAAGCTTGCTTTCAAGAGAAGTTATGAATCTTCGTGAACTGGGTAAAATTTTCACAATAAATTTTATATCAAAAGCAAGGACAAGATAAATTAAAACTTCAAAACCGAATCGATATCAAAAGGATGATAATGTTTTATAAAAGAGTCCAAAAAAGCACCGCATACTGGTCACACAACCCCGGGACCGCAACACACTCTCCGGGTTTAAAGGAAATTTCAACAATCATTGATGCTTGGGCTTAAAGGTGGACCTGGACTCAAAGCATTAGGGCCGCATTAGTCATGTGTACAATTAAAGGGAAAATAGCAAATTGTTTAGCACATATCCATGTATTGCTTAGCTTAACAGTCGAAGTTAAACTCTGGCAATTGTAAGATTTATCAGGTTGGTAGCGTAACGACGCTCTTGGTACATGTTAGCTGCCTAATGGCCGGGTACGGTTGCCCGATGAAATATGTATAATGGGACTGGATGGCCTTGCTACAGAATCAATATATCGGATGGAAGCTCTATCTAGGAGACTTGTACTTAAGCATCGAAAATTTACTGAGTTCCCGTGGGTTTCTCAGATTTAAATCCCCGTTTAAAACATATTGTTTCTGTTTTCTCAAAGATAAAAGACAGGAATTACAATATGTTTACAGATTTCAGTGTCACAAACCTACGCGGTTAGAAAATACTATAGAAATCTTAGGAAATATCCGTATTTTGAATGGGAAAACAATTACAGTATGCATTATGGCAAATTTTTTTATAGTTGACCTATTCCTGGTGCAATTTAAGAACAATTCTATTAACAAGTATTTGGGACTAATATATTTTAATTTAGAATTATCTGATAATTATTCTACGTAGTAACACTCCAATTACTCAGTTAAATAAAGCCTTAAAATTTTAAACGAGAATACAAACATTTCAATGCAGCAAACTTGAAGAAAATGGCCGCTGTTTCTGCAACCACATTTAATTTCAACAGTGGATAGTGTATAGTTGGTGCACTTCATACAAAATTAAAGCAAGACAGGCTACAGTACCAACTTGCATCGACGACGGGGATTACGCTTGCAATTCCAGTTACGGTACTATTCTGGCAACTCGAAGAAAGCTAGTATTATATACAAATATTATAGAAAAATGAAGCTTCTATTATGAAATAGGAATCCTTATTATGTGTACTCATCTCGATCAAAGAAATAATACATAAACATTGACGTCTTTAATTTTATTGTCCATTGTTAATATAAGTAAGGTTTAAAAGTTCTAAAAATTTATGAAATAACTGTAAGGTACAGTTGGATTGTGGCCAATAATTAGGTTATACGATATTTTCAGAGTATCAGATATTCAGATTTTTAGACTATTTTTACTTTTAGAAAGTAAGACGTGAAGAAGTCCTTATAAGTTGCCTATAACTTGAATAAAACAAAAGGCAGTCTATTTCATCAAGTTTCCAGAATAAGTACACTAGACTTGGAATCATACCAACAAACTGCGACACAGTGTAATTAACATGTTAATAATAAAACTTACAGTTGTGTAAACTTCTAAACGATGTGGAGAACTTTACAAATACATGTTTCGTTACTATCGCATTATTATTTTAGTTTTAGACTCTTAGTACAAAAGGAAATATTTCAACTTAAACAAAGGACAACGGCAGATGGATTTCCTACATGTTCTGTGAAAAAAACAGAGAAAGCAATTTGTTATCGTTAAGTGTTAGGCCAGTTTAGTTGTTAACCACCTAGAAACTTCACATCGATACTGGCATCATAATTTGTGGTCAACTATAACCTTTGTGGTTCTCTTACGATAGTAATATTCGACACTGGCTCTATGAGCGAGCTGCTGAGCCAAGTCATATGTTAGTCTGGTCGTGTACTAACTACCTATATTTGCTAGAACATTCGTAATCGAATAATGACTAAATTATGCATTTAAACCTTGCAATTGACATATGCTTCAACAGTATATAAATACTGTTTAAAAAGATACCGGTCTTTAACAAAAAAAAGTAGGCGAGCTAGATTAAAATCATGGCAACCTCACCTCAAATCTCAGTTTATTGGAGATATTTTATTTAAGAACTAGTGCTTATAAGTCAAACTTATAGGAATTTATATTTGTAGATAAATATGTTGCTAAAATATCATTATTAAGTTTCTCACAAAACATAATTTTTGTCCCCAGCAATCACCATCAGCTCACTATACGTCCCCACCGAGGGGCTCGGAGCCTACCCTAAGTTAAGGGTGATTAGGCCATAGTCAACCACGCTGGCCAAGTGCGGGTTGGTCCCCAGCAATGTTCACCAGAAACTGAAAAACAGTTCGTTGTGAGGAATTACTTTTGCTAATCAAATTGTGAGCTGTATTTATGTGGTAAGCGATAACTACCTCATAATTGACTAAAATTATTTACAACTAGAGAAAAAATATTTTAACTTTGAAATAACTTAATGTGATACTACTGAGACAAGACTCTAAAAACAACGATTTTCTAATTTAAATGAAAACAGCAATTGGATTACTTAATAATTTTCATGTTTCAAATTTAATGTAACTTCCTACGGTTACCTATTCTGTGTTCTCTGGGTTTTTTGACGGCGTTAGAGATTTATCAAGGCTCTGGCCTGACCGTCAGTTAATCCTGACAATATGTTGTTATGAGTGACTGCTACATAATGAATTTACGTCGGTTAGACGTGCTCTAGGTGCGATCCTGACTCGTGTATTAATCCTACGGGATATAACCCGGCTTTAGTTATGCTTGCTACGTTGGTTAGTAAATTTCCCAGATATGTCTCTTCTTATATAGCCAAGGATATTGCATAGTTTTTATTACTCGTTCATAAATCTTTCTTGCTCTAGTTGAGGCTGTGCAAATTAGTTTTTCGCAACTTCTTCTTATCTATTTTTTCTTCCTTTTGTTAAATTTTCACTAAATATTTTTGAAAACTTTAAACTAAATGTTAACAGCATTTATGTAGACGAACATTTGAGGTAATTTCTGACAAATTAAATGAGTTGCATTAATGTAGCAGACATACCAAATTAGCTATGAAAGTAAGTTTTTAGCAAAACGGCTTCCCGTTGTCAATCTACAATTAACATCGAATTGTACAGAGCTGTGTACATGGTAACAATAAACAAAAAAAATTGAATACAATTTCCTTGGAAACATCTTGCTTCGCAGATAATGTAATGAGGGTAGATTCAATTATCTCACGCTCTTTCGTTTCTCTCGTTTTTTGCTATGAGGTTCGAGTAAGTAGAAATTTCGATAAAAGCAGCAATGGATTCTGCACATTTGTAGCGCCGTACATTGCTGATTTGTACCGCGAAGCGTGTCCGACAGTATCGAGCTTCGCTCGCTCTGCACCCCGCACCCTACACCCCGCACCACGCACCCCACACCCCGCACCCTACACCCCGAACCCTGCACCCTGCACCCTGCCCCCCGCACCCTACACCCCGCACCCTACACCCCGCACCCCGCACCCCGCACCATACACCACGCACCCCGCACCCCACACCCCGCACCCCGCACCCTGCACCCTGCACCCCTAGCCCGGCGGCGCGGTGACGCGACGGCAGTGCGAGAGAGCTGGCGACGTCTATTCAAATATCCCCTATCTCTTCACGCCGCTCCCCACCGTCAGCGCCTCGCAGTCTCCTTTCATATTTTGCGCTTCTATTCTGCGCAGCATCCCCGGGTACCAAAACGCTATCGGCAGACATCAAAATAGCTCAAGTCTCGTGGCAGCCAACCAATTTCAAACCCTAACTCGTAGCGATATGGTCTAGTTTCTTTTGCAGAATGTGTGCAAAGTTAAGGTTTAAGCGAAAGATCGATCTCGCCACCCGATACTCGGTATAGGGGTAGAGATCCAGTACAAGTAGCGTGTTAGGGCGCGGCTCGCCGCAAAGTTAGACGCGATCGAGCCGTGGCCGAAAACGACACCTCTAGTCCTCACTCTGCAGAAAATTTTAATTCCAAATTCAAGATATCTGAGCAAAGGCAAGAGGACGAAGATTTTAACAAGGTAAGTGCTAGCAACGCTTATTTTTAATAAAACACCTCGTTTTTTGAAACACGGGGAACATTTTATCAAAATTTTATTGCGTCGATAACTCCCTTCTGCGCCTCGTGTCTAGCCGTTCCGCGCCGCCTGACATGCGCAAACAGTATTGACGTGTCGTATCAATACTGTTTTCACTCCTCTTATGCTACTCTCAATTTACGTTTGATATTTTAACAGTGTAGAATTATGTTATGAACGGGAATTAATATTGAAATGTGCTTTCACAGACAAGGTGCGGCCGGTGGGTGGCTTCGGGTGCAAAGCAGTCTTATGGGTAATGTATGAATTTTATTATTTCTGAGCTTTTTTATATGCAATATTTCTGTTTTATGATTTAAAAGCGAAATTAAATTTTTTTCTGGTATTTTATTTATGTACCGGAAAAAATAATACATGCGTCTTTGTTCCTATTTATATTTTTTAATTTATTTTTATTTGCGAATTAATTTATGTTTTAGACTGCATTAATACAGAACAAAAATGACGCAAAGGGTATAAAATTGAAAAAATAACATCGGTTTTCGTTACATAAACCAACTTTTCTCATTTTTTTCCTTCTCTTAAAAGCGTAGTACGATGACTTTATAATTTATGAGGTAATCGATTTATGGGACAAAGAAAATGTTACAATCTTCATTATTTAAAGTTAACTTCAATAAAAGTAAAAGACACCTTCAATTCCATGATACATTATAAAATTTAACCTGAATAACCTAAAATTTAATTTAAAAAAATAAAAAATCTCCGATTGGTAGGCTCTCAAATAAGAAATAGCGCCACCTAATGGCTGAATTTCAAATCATAGATTTTTAACATTAAATAATATATAGAGTATAAATGTTACGTGACACATGTAACATTTGTTTTAATATATACCAAAGAATACTTTAACAGTAACAATAACGTAACCTTTAATAAAAAAAAGAAATCGAAAAACCCGACTGACTGGATCTTATGAACAGCGCCATCTAGAATCTGACCCCACCTAACTGAATCGAATTGTCAGGGATGAAATAGCGCCATCTATTGGCTGCATTTAACACAACGATGTTCGAGATTTTGCACCATCCCGAACTCTTTCGTGAATGTATTGATCCTTGGTATTTGCAAAAAGATGTTGCATCTGTTAACTTTGGCGTCTAATTCTTTTGCCTTTCAACAAGACTTTCGTACTTCATATTTCCTAACTATTCGGATTTATCTTATTATACAATTAATAAAATCCTAAATACTTTAAATTAAATTTGTTCTTAATATGCGAAAAAAAGACTAGTCATAATTAAGTAAGCTTGTAAGCTGATATTAATACTCGAAATTATTCTAATTAACATAAATTTTACTATTTCCGTGCAAATCATTTTTACGATAATGAACTGGCAGTTTTGTCAGCAATTCATTACACCAGGCCGTCGGGCCAAGATTAATTCTCATACCAATACAACCATCCCTCTCTCTCACATAACTTAAACAGTTCCATCCTTCTCTTTCATTCAAGGTAAGTAGTTAACTCTCCAGCGACGCCTGACGTATTTCAACCAATTTACTACACTGGCGTAAATAAGCCTCAGGGGATGTTTTTGCTTATAGAGAGCCATAGAGGCTAACAATAAGATAAATCAATTTTCCTTAGCGAGGAAAACGATGCGCTCATTAGGAGATTAAGTGAAACATTGCTTCAATTCTTGTCAATAAAAATATGATAGAAATATTTGTGTACATTTTTCTTAATTTACGTATATTTACGTTTGTTTTTTTTATTATTACATATTTTGAGATAAAAATGGCCTTAACTAAATCTGAGTCTGAAAATATTAATTGTTATATTTGAAAAATTTTGAATTTCGTCTGTTTAGAATATTTTTAGAAATATTTTAAACGAAGATTATTTTTTACAAATACAGTGGTAAATCTTTTTTTTCATAATGATTTAACCAATGTTAGATATATCTTGATATTATGTACTTGAGACGTAATATACCTGGCATATGGTGTAAAATTCATGTTTTAATTTAAAACCGTTGTGGAAATTTTAACTTCTCCACGATATTAATAGTTACGGTACCCTAATAAACATAATAGTTAAAACTTATTATCATAGTTAAGCATAAATACTGTTAGGAAGATGGTAATTTCCTTTAGAAATTTTGCGCAGTACTCATACCCAAAAATAATCCGAAATATCATAACCCAAGTTTATTACTCGATGGCAAGTTAAAATTTTATCACCCCGAGAACGTAAAATTTGAGTCAACATTAGGGGGCCAACGACGAAAATGAAAATGAATAACTAATGATTATCCTGCTTAAGTCTCGCCTACAAACTTTTATTACCCGACTAAATTCAAGATGCCCTTTATCTCCAATTCCATTTGTTATAACTTAAATGAAAATTAGTCTTTAATCTTTGAACATTTGATTTATTTAAGTCGTAAATTATGAACATTATCTTATCAAGTTTCCAACGTCTATTTAAAAGAAGTAAATAACTATATTCATTTATCCTTTATTAAAAGACAACTTTTTAAGAAAATAACTTTATTTGGGTACCATACACCCTTGAAACCATTATAACTTTTTAAAAATAAAAATAATAAAAGCTGTATTGCGACACAAATTTTTATATAATTTGTATTTTGGGTAGAACATAGGGCAATGGCTCTTGAACTATGTTACTCTTGAACAATGTTGCCCTGTGTTTCAGGAGCCATTAGTTACTCGCACGTCTTGAATTTTGTAAAACATATAGGAGATAGAAAAACATGGTAAATGGGTATTTTTCTCAGATAATTCGGAGTAGAAAGTACTCGTGACTTATTTCTTTAACACAAAACCAACAAATCAGTATTAATGGGTATTTCTGAACAAAATGAGCAATAACACGAAAGTCATTCATTACATTCTTCGCTGCACACGAACAGCTGAAATAACTTAGGAAAAAACAAAAAAAGTTTAATTAAATTAGTTCTTGCAGAAATACGGGCGCAGTTACCTTCTTATTTTTACAATAAGTTTTTGTTTTAAGGCAATTAAGACGCGAGGCTAGAGTTTGCTGTTTAGTGTAACTTCGATATTTTTAATGAAATGCAGTAGACATCTAACATATTATAATGTTTCTTTATTGACCTAAGTAGGAATTTAATAATCGAAACAAATTGTTAAATTGACTTTGTTATGATTTAGTGTCTTGTCGCTGAAGCTAGGAACTAGGTAAAAATGAGAAATACAAATTTATTTTATTGATTTGCATATATAGCGAGCATGTCATATTTTAGGGGGATTTTGGATATTAGCTATTGGCATCTTCTCAAACTTTTCGAATTTTATTACAGAAATCCAATAATCTTGCCAACAACAATGGGTATTTAAATATAGTTTCTTGCATTTTATTTTTCCACATTAGGTTTCAACATCAATTCTTGTTAATAATTTGTTCTTGCCCGATACACAATACGTTAGTTAGCTTTCTAGAGTTATATATGTCGCTTTTCTGGATTTAAGCTGCGACTCACGTCCCAACCCCTCGCACAACGCGCCGCCATTTTGGTATACAAATTAATGTTAGCTCTCTGGAGATATAGATGTCGCTTCACTAGATTTATGCTCAGCTTCACGACCCAACCCTTCGCACATCGCGCCGCCATTTTGTTTCAACACGCGGATTAAAATGTAATAAACCAAACTCGGAAAGCTAGTAATTATTACAGAGCTTATGGGATTTTACTTAGAGACTATTTGATATAATTACTTTGATTTACGTCGAGAATTTCATCAACAATTCGCTTGGGTGATAAAATTAAAATGATACTTTAGTGCCAGTTTACTTTTAAAAACGAGACCACATACCCGATTTAATTCGAAATAAGAAAAAGATTTTTTGATTTTTCAAGTTATTAGTTTAATTAACAAACGTTTTATTATTATTTAAAACATCGCAGATTAATTCGCGATCTCTCTTCTCGATTCCATTTCTCTTTCCTTTCTGTTTTAGTTTCAAATAAGGGAAATGGACGATATGCAAATGCAATTTATCCTAATAGCTTCAAGTAACAAAAGCTGACGTCTAAATGCTGGAGCTCAGACTACATTTAAATTGCTACATTACATTGAACTATCTCAACTTGCTTTTACATTTACATTTTAAATACATTTCCTTTGCTCTTAAGCTAATTAAAACTGCGCACTATGAAAAAAACTCATATCTTGTCTAAGACTCGAAAACTTAAAGTAATTGTTGTAAACATGAAATGTTCAAATGTTCATTGTTTAGGAATAATAAAGACACCATGAACAGACAAAAAACTTTGCTTCTCTATTAGTAGAGGTTGACTTTCAAACTCATACACCAGTTGTGTTTTGTTACACAACGAATTGTGATCCCGCATATACTTTTTAAGAACCCTAATAAATATATTAATCTAGTATGTTTTAGACATTATTTTTAGTAGTAGTAGAAATTCACAATTACCTTACTACGAGTATATAAAGTTTAATTAGTTGAACGTTTTATTACAGCTGTAAACCCACTAGAGTTTATACAACAATGTTTAATGTTGCATCTAATGGGTGTAGTTAATGTTGGCACACTGCACATATACTGCAGTCTGGCGCTAAATTAAGTTGAAACAGCCTGGACTATGTACTACAAAATACATTACATCGGTACAGTCGCTTCCAGAACTGTAATTACGGGAAAACTTGCGCAATTTGTAACGCAACTGTACTGCTATAATAAATTAAAATAGATAATAGCATTTTCAGACATTCCAACTGGCACTTACGTATAAAAAGTTAACTTAAATACATTTTATTTTTTCTTTTTATTTGCAATTTAACATTTTTATTATAACCAACGATGTTATAGTCGAGTTCTACGTTTGCTTTTTTTAACATTAATTTTCACCCCGTGTCCGACACTTGTGCCATTCTCTTTGTTAAATGAAATTATTTCCAAGTTTTCTTTGCTGGTTGAACTTTTTAGATCTTTTAATTAACGGCTAAGAGTTGTAATGCAGTTATCAGCTAATTTACACGTCTTTTAAAGCACGGTAAACAAAAATAGCAACGTTTTTGACAATTTTCTCGTTATTTTTCTTGCTTGATGAAATAGAGATGATAGAATGCGATGGGACAGCATTTCGGGCTTTTTCGATTTTTAGTATTCGTATTAATAGATAAAGGTACATCTCTTCACACTTTATACCCATCCATCCATCCAAAGTATGTCATAAATAAAAAGGTTATCTTTCCATGATTATAAAATTAAATCGTAAACTGAAAAAATCTTGTTCAAGAGATAGTAATTTTTCCCCTTTTATATTTAAGAATACAAGTATAGTATAGGCAATACTAAAAAATACTTTCAGAAACATGTTGCCATCTCTTTCTTACTTCTTGAATAATCTGAGATAAAAGACATGTTATCTACGGTTGCTTTTAGTGGAAACTCAAAGTTTACAACAGTATCACAATGATGTGTACCAAAAATATTTACGGGCAGTAAAAGATTTTACTGCAAACGCGTTTATGACCACGCCCTGTATCGATCGTAATATGCAAAACGTGTTGTACATAAATCTCGTGTAATACTGGATCGCAGCCAAGCGACTACAGCCCTAAGCATTTAGATCTCACTAATATTCATATATTCCAAACTCCATTTAGCTAATATAAAACAGATTATGTCACTCGCTATATACCATGCTCGCTTTATATAAGCCAGCCATTTACAGTAACTGGTTTTATATATAGTAGGACCTCCTTAATACAATATCGCTTTCAACAAAGTATTACACATGGCAACCAACACTATACAGGTCGGAAATAATTTCAACTATTGCCATTATTTTTTTAGAATTAACACTAAAGAAACGAAACAAAATTTAAATCACCACACAAACTTATATCTTAAGCTAAAGTCTAAAGTTAGCTCGTTAGGTGAATTATTAAGAGGAAAGTTTTGTAAATGGTCAGCTTAATGTAGGCCCGAATGTATGAACTATTTACTACGGAAACGGGATATTATAGATAGCTTAATGCGACTTGTACGTTTTCATTTTAGGCCTTCAAATTGTCTAAGTTAAAATATAATTCCTTATCATTAATTCTTTATTTAAATCTAGGACTGGCAAGTAAAGCTCAGCGATTAGTCCAATAACTTAGGGCAGGCTCCGAGCCCCTCAATGGGGACATATAGTGAGCTGATGATGATGATTATTCCAATCACTTAAGATCTATGTCAATAATCTTAGTAATATCGGTTCTATTTTATCATGACGTTGGATATTTTAGAAATTTACATTAAAGGGATACACTTCTTTTTGTTTTTCAAATAAATATAATAATAATTTTACATAAAAAGAACATTAGTAAACAATATTTCAATAGTCCCACTCACCCTGATGAAGGGCCCCCGATGGGCTCGAAAAGAGTCGGTGCCACCACCGGACGAATATACGTGAGTGTTTAACCGTTTTTAAATAAGTTTATTATAATATCTCACGAAAGTTTGAATAATTAAATATTTTAATATTTATCGTTAACGTTAACTCATATTTCATCTGAATATTGTAAAAACTTTCACATATTTATTTATCCGACATCGGCAACATTTTAATTTCACAGCGCTCGTTCGCTTCGGTATTTTATTAAACTTGTTCAAGCTTTATAAAATTTATGTGCACCGCTCAGACGGAACCGAAGATATATTGCTTTCGCGTAAAATATGGGACGGCTGAAATAAAAGTTATATTTGTTTCAGTCGCCATATTGTAATGTAACATTTGCGATTGAACATTTCAGGAGCGACCCGGGGGAAAACAACGAATATGATTAAATTGGTAAGCAAAGAAAACATCTTTAAGGTAAGTATTATTTTTACATCTTTTTTTAAAGGATAAGGGGGCACCGAGCTGTTCGTCGCCTTCTGTTGCCCCGACACACATGGACATTGCAACAACAGAGGAACTGCATTTGCGTTGACATACTTTAAAGAAGTATTTCATTTGTTCTATTCAATTATTTGGTTGTTGAATATAAAAATTATAATAAAGACCTATATCAAGAAGACTAAAGGAACAATATGGCTTATATTAACTAGATTTGATTACGCTGTAAAAATAAATTTTGAAGATTATTGTCCTAAAGACATTAACGCGTTTAAAATTCTATTCAGGAGTTTAATTCCTAAGTAAAATATGGCTACTTTAACAATAAAGTATATAAAAATCGTGAAGTATTTTATATAAAAGGAAAGACCTCGCCACATCTTTCAAGCGCTCTGTTTGAGTGGAATGAGATATCTCTATCTTTATTATACGTAATATTTCAAAGTGGCTTCAATAGAGAATAGAATCTTCGCGTGTTAGTCGTTGAGTTGTGGCGAAATCTTTTATATACGTTCCGCGGAAATCCATCACTGACAGCTAGGGATTACCCGATGTCGATAAAATTCACGATGTTTTTCAGATCGCAGCAAATAAATCTTTTGAACTTAAGTCTCAGATGATTATACTCTTTTTCAATTTTACACTTTAGAATTTACTTAAGTGTAGTGAACACGACATTTGTACAGATTCAATTCTAATAAGTACTTTAAACATTTTGAGTCAATAAGGCAGCTATATCTATTTATCTAAACTTTTAACTAGATCGTTACATAGGTTTTGGTATGTCCATTATACTAGTCTCTAATACATTAGACCGTACGTTGAAATCGTAATTACTAACATTCAAAGTAATTATTTAAGTAAACTCCTTACTTCCTTATTTTCTAATTTTGTGCCTGGTGACGTCATTACTTCGATATTTTAAAACATCGATATCGATAGGTACCAACATCGACATGTAACAACTCTAAAATTGTTCTTACCCAGAGAATCTTGTTTGACGGCGTGCAAGATTAATGATAGCAGGACGACACTATACAAAGCCTGGGGGTGGTAAATGGGGGGATGAGTCGAGGATTTAGTTCATCCCCCGCACCAGTAATGCTCCATTTATCTATTTCAACTAATTGCTTGTAGATTTCGAGTTTAATTCTATAACAATACGGGATTTATTAATGTGATTCAATTAAGCGATGCTTAAACTGTGTATGTGCTTATAAATTAGCGCAATGACGTAATTAATTACATTTGTACTTGAACAATGTGAGTCGTCATTTAACGTAATTACACGCGAATTTATACTTTAGTACTTTAGTAATAAGGCTTTAATTATACCTATTAATTATTTGAAATGAAACAATATTTAGGTGCCATGCATAAATATTACGTAAATGTTCCAGTATACCTATGTTTATTACAGACAAATACATTAAATTTTTAATTTAAAAAGGCAATTTCGTTAAGATAAGATGTTCCTTGAACCTGCAGTTAGGTGATTATGAAAAAAATCGTTTTAATTATTTCACTTCACAAATAATTTGAATAACGTCGAAATTACAGGCGTCATAGTCGCCATTAAATTAAGCGTCATAGATCGTACGTCATTTATTATTAATTCGCGAGTTTGGGGTCTAAATATCAATCGCTTACGTGATCATGACTCATCAATTTAGTCAGGCGATCGAGCTGGTACAAAAGCCCAACGGGGAAACAATGGCCGTTCGTCTTTCAGCGTTCCCTCCCCGCGCAATTAAGTGAACCTTTTTATACGACCGCGCTTTTCTCTACATTATCGGTACACAATGGTCGGAATGATTTGCGGGAAAATACTGAGATTATTCTTTTTTTGTGCGGTTCCTTAGCCGTCTTGCTCCACGATTCATTTGATTTGTGGACGTCTTTGTGTGCGAAATACAGGATTTATTCGAGATCATTTTCTATCTTTGTATATAACTTGAATAAAAATGAAAAGATATTTTATTATTATTATACATTAACTCATTTGAATTAAATGATAATTCCAAATATTGTTTAATTACGTTACAATAAATTATATGAGTGTTTTTATATTACAAATAATTTTCAACTAATAGTGTAAGCAAACATCAAAATTAAAAGCATTATAAGCAAACGCTAAGGGCTAAGTTGAAAGGATAATTAAAAACCTAGTAACGAGTATTTAAGTAGTATCTTTCAGTTACAGGTAATCGTGAAGCTGCAACTGCTGTGGAAAACCGAGTCAACGGGAAGGCTGATAGAGAGGCTAGATGATAAGAATAAAGAAGACTTGCTGTTAAAGAAGAGAGAAGAAATAAATGGCACATTCGTGATCTACCCTGTAGATCCGGGCTTTTGTAGTTTATAGTTATCAGAAGCTCGTCTCTACAGGTATCTCACGGCTGGAAGACCTCGCTACTAACTCAAAACCACTACAACGAAGATACAGCGAAGAAAGAACACTTAGAAGATTCTGCTATACTTTGTACTCGAATTTATAGTTGTTTTGCAATAATTTTATTTTGACAGTTGTTTTACCGTGGGTTTCTAATACGAAGATCTCTTATCTCTTATCTCTCGATATAACAATATGATTCAAACGGGGATTTTGGTCTCAGAAATCCACGGTTAGAAAACAGGTATTAAAATAGTTCACGTAATTAAAAGTGATAGAGGAAGAGGGATAACTATATTGTGATTGTATCGTAACTAGTCATTCGAAAATTTAAATGCAGAATCAATATTATGAATTTATAAGTTGACGTTTTAATAAAAAAAAAAATTGATTGATGTTTTTCTACCAGAAAATTTAACCAATTATGATGATGTATAACAAAGAACATTCTATAAAATAAAAGTTTTAAAGCCAACTACAATGTTTCTCTCGACACAAACATTGCAGCTTTTAAAGGATTTATGACGCAGTTACCTACACATATGTAAATGTCGCAGACTACCCACTATTGGACTTTAGTGCTTCGGTATCATTATCACCCGCACCAGTGTGTTCCACAGGAGATGCCGGAGCCTCATCAGTGGCAGTAGACGATAGCCACTCGGTGGCTTTTACGGAGTAAATCCCCACATAACCTTGTTCCCCCCAGGAGCAGGGTATCTTTGTCACGAAATAAAACCTGGTACAAACTGAATATTGGTATTATTTTACCCTTTTTGCAAAATGAAAAGTAAATGATTGTTATTTCTTTTCTTCCATACGAATACCATTTACAAATGAATTATGCCAATTATACAATTGGCTTATCAGATGGACTAACGCTATCTATAAACATTTGGAAACTTAAAAAAGTTGTAACCAGTAGCAGCCTTTGTGTGAGAAAGAGGAATTGAATTGAATGCACAATGACAATAAGAATAAAGTTGAAAGTAGATTGGAGACACGAAAGATTATGAGGAAATTTATATCATTGCAACGCAGGTAGCGCTCAACTTCGTTGTAAGAAATGAAAGCTTACGATTTGCACTCTTGCTTATTAACTTAGCTAGTACTTCATAGTAATGTTATAAGCATATTTATAATTAAAAAATAAGATAACCAACTTACTTCAAGTTGCTTTATTTGTGTAATACAGATTATAATAAAAATATATGTGGTTTGATTTATTTCATCTTTTAAAACATTGTTCAAACTTCATACAGCATTTATAACCAAAAATAAATTACTGTAGGTTTCAAGGATCTTAATTTCATTTTATGCATCACAATAATAAATATCAAAAAATGCATTACAATAATAAGCAGTTTGGTACAGTAATTGTTGTCTAACAAAGTTAATACTAGGGTATTAGAAATGGAACGTAATGCTAAAAAAACATACAGACGAATTGATAACCTCCTCCTTTTTAAAGTCAGCTAATGAGAGATAAGAGTATTTTAGACTTAGTTTTCCTTGTATTTATAATGGTCAGAACAATAACTTATGGGGAAGTATCTATTGATCATTGTGGCGAACTTTGAGGGTGGCCTACACTTAGCAGTGGGCAAAATGTGGCTGAGACGATGTTAATGATGCTGATATGTCTATTAATGCAAATATTGCAAGATAAACTATAAAACATATAGACGTGTTCCATAAAACACAGGTAACATAACCAACAACCCTATCTACGAATTTTTATTTTTACAATATATCATGAATATACCTTAAACCTAACACAATATGTTTCATATTTATGACGAACAAAATAAATTCGTTTTTGAAGGAGGTCAACACCAAAAAATACAAAAGCAAACGGAAACGATCGTCAAACAACGTCCTCTTTTAAATTTATTAGACGTTTTCCATTTAGAAAATATTTTCTTGATTTTGCTACTCGACGACAGATGGCGGTGTTTTTTTCACTGCGTAAATGTTGTCTCTTTCAAAGCAACAGAGGGCGTGCTACACTTAACATTGAAAACAAACATGAAGCTTTGAAAGCTTGAAGTTAAAGGATTTGTATGTTATTCAAAGTTTCTTCTATGTTATACAAGACCAATATAGGTTAGGTATATCATTAAAAAAACACTGCCCGTATGCACCAATAGGTACAGAAGCCGAAATTAGAGAAAATATTAAAATGCTTACAATAAAAAAATATTATTGCAAAAAAAGTTTAAACCATTAAAAAATGATCCTTTAAATTCTCAATATTTTATGAAAAAGGTAAACAACAGACGTTGCGCAGAAGCTCTTAATAAACTGTCCAGTTTACACTTACTAAATAAATCACCTGAACTCGCGGACCGCCCATTTTGAGTTGCCTTATCGAACATTGATTAATAGTTTACGACAGAGATATTTTTGATACTTACCTAAAATAGTTTCTAATCTAAGCCACAGTACAATCGTGAATAAAGTGTAATGAGCTGATGCAGACCAGATAATTTGAAGAAACGGTTCCTCAAATCTGATACTTAAATGGTTTTACCGACACATACATAACTCATAACATGAGTGTACATCATTAAGAGCTAATTATATTT